ATCTCTGCTTGTTACGGTGATTCCCTTTCCTCCTCCCAATATATATATATATATATATATATATATATATATATATATATATATATATATATATATATATATATATATATATATATATATATATATATATATATATAGTGACATGGGCGTATCACCAATGACGAAATCCGTAAGCGCTGTTACGGTTTTCCGAAGCTCTCAGCGATCATCCAACACCGCAGACTTTAGTGGCTCGGTCACATCCTCCGCAGACCAGACACTGATTTCATTTGGGGCGTGGTTTCACCCTCCCCTTGCCAGGGTTGGTGTCGTCGCCGTGGTGGACAATTAAAAACGTGGCTCCCTGCAGTGAAATCGGATGTCGATCTTCTGGGACTCCTTGTTGTGCCTGATGCTCGTCACTGGAGGAATCAGTGGATCAGTATCTGCGTAGAGTTTGCCGCCGAGTTCCGCGCTTGGGCAGCTGCAATCCACCACATTCATGAAGCCGGCTCATCTTGTCGCTGGAGCTAGCCGCAGTAAACACTCTCCCAAGGCGGTACAGTGTTGTGGACTCGGAAACGGAGGGGCATTACCAAAGATGGGAGAGTTGAACAAACATGAAATAAAGTAATCGAACTGTGGTGCGGTAGAGCGCGAAATAGCGTGTTCGGCCGCCAGCACCTCGGTCGAGGATAGCGTTGGCAAAATCAGAGAGAGAGAGAGAGAGAATCAGGTCGTTGAAGCATTGCTCCGTATGTTGCGTGGCATGTAGCTTCCCGGTTGCCCATGCCGAGGAAGAAGTTTGATTTAGATGACCTCACCCGGAGCCTTTGGTCTTAAGCCCTGAACCGCAAGGTAGAAGGGCGGTTGACGTATATCGCATACCATTGGGAACGATGATGATAACACGGCTTTCGAGCAGGAACAAACTGCTCAGGCTGCTCAAGAAGCGCGAATGAAACAGCACGAAGGTCAGGAGAAATTTCCTGGACCAACGTACTCGCCGAAGAGCATGGAAGCCGTTGACAGCCAGGGGGCTCATACGCCTTCACAGTCGCCGGGGGCCATCGAGGTAGTTCATCCGTCCTCCGCTGAATATTCACTTCTGGGAGAGAGGATTGTCCTGCCAAATGCCAATCAGCGGAGAATACCAGAAATGATTCACCTCGCGCACACCAGTGTAAATGGCTGTATCCGGAGAGCGAAGGAGCTCTATTAATGGCATAACATGAGTAGCACCATCAAAACTCTTGTCAGCCATTGTGAAATGTGCAAAAGCCGTTACAAGGCATAAACAAAGGAGAAAACAGTGCTGAGAGAAGTCCTGAAAAGACCCTTGAAACGTGTTACAGTTGACCTTTGTGCCTATGGTAACAAGCAATACCTTATTACTGTCGACTATTTCAGTGATTTCTTTGAACTGGAATGGTCGTGCAGTCCTACCGCGCAGATGGTGATAAACAAATTAAGTGCACACTTCGCTCGGTACGTCATACACGACGCCGTAATCTCCCGTAACGGACCAGAGTTTACTGGCGCTGAATTCAAAAACTTCGCGGAAATATGGGGGTTTCAGCATTTGACCCCTAGTTCCTACTATAATCAAGGAAACGAACAAGCTGAAGCGGCAGCCAGGATCACCAAGATGATTTCTCATTTAGCCAAGACATTAGTCGAAGCTCCTTGTACGGTCAAACCTGTCTTAGACGAACACTTAAGGGACCGACAAAAAGTGGTCGCCTTGAATGGGTGGTCGCCATAGACATTACTCGTAGGAGAACACGTTGGGGGTGTTTCTGGCTGGTCGCCATAGCAACTTGGACTGTATAATGCTATTGGAGAAAAGAAGCACACCTGGCGAAATTGTACCTTACAGCCCTGCCTAACGGATGTTCGGGAAAAGGACACGTACCATTCTCCCACCCATCAATGAGCTACTACAACCCGGAACGTTGCATCAAGCTCGTGTTCTTGGGGATTTGCGGCGGTGCATGTGCTATCAAAACTGCAATATGATAAAGGTGCTCGTGACCTATCGCAACTAAAAGAAGGGAACAAAGTATGGATGCAACGAGTTCCTGAGGTTCCTGAAAAATGGAACAGAGGGTTAGGCTGAGAGACCGAGGCTTCCGGTACTGTAAAATGGATGTCGGTGGTGTGGTCAGCTGGCAGGACAAAATACATTTACGCTGGCGTTTGTCGCCAGAGAGAGTCAACATAACTGGCACTTCTAGTCCGTCTCGTACAAGGAGTGGACGTAACTACCAAAAACGGGAGGATCTTGGGAAGGTGAAGCGAACAACGTCAGTTCCTCGTGCGTGTTCGTAGTCTCGGGACAGATGAACACACGCTATCACGGCCAAGTCACGTGTCTGCCTCAGTGCGTTCGATCAGGCGATCGATCGATCGAGCTTTTAAAACAGCTGAACGCACCGGAATCGCAGAATTGCAGAATAGGACGCTTCTTTGCCGATCCGGCGTGTCTTTTTCCTGTTGACGCGGTTGGGAGACGCAGACACGCAACAAGTTGGTTGTGGTCTGAATCTACCAAGCGCGGTCACAGAGAAGAATAGCATGTATGATAGGGAAACAAGGTTCGTTAGGGATGATCGAGTATTATTTTGACTCATTTACTGCACGAATTTAGGGGTCCATGTGAGCGAATCGATAGACGACAATGATGCAGGTATTACAGTGTTAAACACATCCATTTGAACATTGGATGGCGTCCTCGATCGCCACTGTTTACTGAGAAACTTTACCTTATTGGAGATGCGGAATTCAGTCCCTAATCTTGGGGGTGTCGAATTGTTAGAAGAAAGGTTCATTGTATTGCGTGGGCAGAATACAGATAGATTGCCCATGCCTAGACAGGAGAACGATTAGGGTTCTCAACCAAAGCCTTTGGTTCAAAAACCTGACCGCAAGGCAGCGGGGTTTTGGCACTAAGTTGTAGACAGCCCCTTTTATGGAGTAAGGAGCAACCCTCATTCCAACCCCCAACCTGGAGGGTCAGGAGACTGAGTTTGTCTGGCCCTTAACCGTTGACCAATCTGGTATGAGTGGCTCTAAAGGTGCAAAATACACCACCCAGCATAGCTCAATAGATCACTTTGAAACTGACGTCGGTTGGCACATCCCGTCTGCCTGGCTGGGGTCCTAAGAATGAAGAACACGTTTGCTTGGACACACCTGCTGATATGGCGAAGAGCCGGCCCCAATGGCGTTTGTGTTGTGAGTTTCTTTGTTCACCCCCCTCCCTTTAGGTTCCCCCTCTAATCCTGATCTAATGCAAAACGCACAATATAATATTTAACATCATACTTTTTGTCGTAATTTGTAGTATAATTTTTTAGTCTGTTATCTTTTTGTATTGCGGCACATTACCTGAGGCTTTTTTCTCACCCTCAGCTAACGTGTACTGATTATGATGCTGATGATGGTGGTGGTGGTGATGATGATGATGCTGGGGTGTTGAACGGGAACTTGTCCCACTGAGTCGAAGTGAGCCGCCAACATTTGTCGACTGAAAAAGTACAATATCTCACCTGTGGTTTCCGATTGTCATGCTCAGTATTATGTGCTTCAAAGGGAATGCAAACCTCATCCATATTTTTAGTGTGAGCCTTTGTGCGTTATGGGAGACTCATGGAGACACTCACTTCAGCATAGTTACGCTTCGCTACTGCCCTCAGGCATTGTGCGTCGGTAGGTCATACTCACATGAAGAACTCTACACATGCTGGCAGCTTACTCTGAGGTCTGCCTCCAATTCACTCGATTGATACTGTACGCGGAGTTATCCGTCTTTAAATGGTTTATTGTGAATTTTTTTCTTTTTCTGTTAGCTCTTCATCTCGATCTTCTAGCCCTGTTAGGGACCTACGGGGAACTGTTCCGCGTACATCACTGCTAGTGGACACGTCACGGATACCATACACTTCCTTTTCTATTCATCGTTCTTGATTAAAATAATCACTGGCGACTGTATTAGCAGTTTCTACTGAGCACCTGATATAAATCCTGCACATTGGACGAAATATTCCCTTTCAGCTCTATCTTTATACAGGCAGTGACTGCTCTTTGTATGCTACCAACAGTTAGCCTGCATAAATGATTTGCGCAACACTGATTCCCTCGATCAGCCGATGGAACTGTTCGATGGGCTCATCGGTTTGGGTAGTGAAGTCACGGATGAGATTACTGCTCACATAATTGGAAATCCGTTGGCTCTTCACAATGCTGTTCGCCACGTCATCTTAGCCTGTCGAACTGGAAAAAAGGTATAATGCTGATGCGCCGCCAGCATCACTTTAAGGACAAAGCATCTGGCATTTTTGCGTATATTTTAACATAGGTTTTTCGGTTCCGTTGATTACTTGGTCGCTTTGTAGTATTTTCACATTCTGCCGGCGCACTAAACCGATAGTCTGTTGAATTTAGACCGCTTGTTCCCATTGGGTTATGTTCTTCATGCCTCTACCAACTTTTCATCTGGCGCGCATTTATCTTCCATATTTGCTCATTTCTGATGCAATCAATCATGATGTGGAAATGTATTTGCGCCTTCTTCAGGACCATCAATCTCAGCGTTCAGTATTCACTTCTGTGGTTACAGTTATCACAACTGAACCCTATGCTTTCCGGTGTTATTGTCATTAACTAACTACTTAGCTCCTTCATGCACACAAACTGAACTATATTAAAACTACCCTTCGCGCTTGGCTTACGAAGCTTTGATCTATTTCCCGGTAGTATAGTGACTGATGTGCTCGGTAGGTACTCTGATAATCCGCGAGCTGCGCTTGGTTGCACATTTCGTACCTCTCACGTCCCAAGCTTTCTTGGCGAGCATCGAAAGTTTGCTTGCTTTGGGCTATAGTTCTTACTACGTGTGCACTTCCTATATTGCGCTCCACCCCACTTGTAATGCTCAGAAGGTTGTTTTGCGAGCTTTGCAAGCGCTACTCATTCAATGTCTTTTTAACACGCTTATGCCGTTTCAACTCCTTTTGTAGGATTTCGAAAATACTGATGAGGTGGTGTCCTTTAATCAGGAGTACGTAGAGCACAAAGCCGAAGAAATCCGCTTCGCTGTACGCCGCGAGGAGGTGAGTGCCTTGTAGTCAACAGTCATCCCACTTCTCGTTGTGATTATTGCGTTTCTTTATCATTTTTGTCAGCGCATTAATCAAAGCTCGGTTCTGGTATTCGGTATGCTGACATGCCGTCACACTGAATGAGATTATCCTTGCAAACGTGCTTACATCTTTCTCAAATCCGTTCCTTATCCACTGATTCTGATGGGTTGACACGCTATCGTATGATATTCTAATCCATCCTTCGTCCACATTCCCTGATCTTGCTTTGCTCGGTATCGTCGTTTTTTGTACGCTGTCCTTTCCATTCGGCATCCCATCCATCTGGTCTTATTCATCAACTTAATAACTTCTTGTCCAGTTACATGTAGTAGTTAACAGTTAGCTCGAATTGGACCTTACAGTCATGGTGACCACCCTCTAGTCTAGCTGCTTACTTCCTCACCCCGTCCCGCCTTCGAATCCCGAATGATTCCTGCAAGACGCGCATTTCTACTAAGGGGCGATGTGGCCGTATAGTGTATTTCCGTGTGCTTGATGACTTTCGGACGAGTTCTGATTGCAACTTTCAAGTCACTTCAACGCCGATTGCGCTCTCAGGTCGTTTCACTTCACTGTGTTGTCGCATCCACTTTACTCGCTGGTTTTGAGAATGAGGGCTTTCATAGTTCAACCAGTTGGTTTTATCATTTGCTATTATTTCAGCTTTTTTCGCTATGGTGTCCGAAACGACCTTACCTTTCGTATTGTTCATCGCTTATAGTTGTGGTGCCGCTTGAATAGATTCGTATATTCAGCTCTAACTTGCTTGATTTCAAGATTGTGTATGGTGGTAATCATAACTCCGATAGCTGACTGTGTATATCAGCGTCACTACACTTTATCCGATCACTGAAATTATGTATTGCATCCCTTTTTGAATGCTACATTCTACATGTCATTGCGGGAATCCCAACTTCAATCTCTATTCTTTCAGATTGAACTTGAGAAAATCGAGGCTTGCCTGTCATTGCTGGGCAGTTCCTCTGGTGGGTTCCTTTTAGTGTGATAATAATTTCAGACCTCGGCTTTTAATAGGGAGTTATTCCGCTTTCATTCACTCTTTTTACGCGTCCACCCTTAATCACTGGCTTCTCTCCTTCTTTATCTTTTCCTCACGGACTCGCGAGTAGAATATACGCATCTCAACTGGGATGCGCATTTGCCAAAGAGTGACTCGACGCACACGTTCACGGTCGAGATTTTGTGAATGGTTTTGAGAAATTCACTTGCAAATCCGCACCAAATTGGGGTATCCTAGGTTTCTGCTGCCCGAAATCGGCGATGCTGGCCTTACCAGTTTGGCCAAATGCTAACCACAGGTGGCCAGCAGCTGTCTGTTCATTTCACCCCTTATAGTCATCAGGCAGTGACGCAGCTGGTTAACTATTCCTTCGACTGAACACCACATTAAGCGTTTAGCTACAAAGTGTTCATGTTCACATTCCGTGCCATTTTATGGTTCTCATTATCTTTTAACTGTAATCTGAACACCGGTGAGCTACTATGATCTTAGGAAGGTGTCGGCAGCGACACTAGTCCTCGGATGGATTTAAATGGAGATTCGGGTTGGCAAGTAAGCGGTTCAGGCACCTGTAGCCAATGAACGCATCTTGGGTGTTTACTCGGTGCACGCGCGGTTCTCATTGGTTCTTTGTCCCGATATTATTCCCGTCTGACATTGCATGTAGCATCTCTTTGTTACTATCTTATAACTTTTATTTTTTTAATCTTCATACCAGTGCTTGTTCTCAGGTCTAGCTGTTGCTGTTTGAATGACATTGGATTAAATCTTAGTTTATTCCAAACTATGCTATATTCGAGTATTGCGTGTCCTGACAAATGTTGCTGTTCGGTTTTTATGCATGGATAGTGGCTCTAATTACACTTTGTGCCCAAAAATTTCTCGCACATTGCAGCTTTGTGTTTGTGAGTCGAACTTAAAACCCGTTTTCTAACGAGCTATTAATCTCTTTTCTGAACCGAATGACCATAATCGCAATATTGAAAGTGAGTCAGGTATCTTTCGCGGTCCACCTCCTTTGTGTGCTTAGTTTAAACTCAAATAAGGCTACACATTCGATGCGGTTAACCAAACAACCTACTACTGGGCAATTTGCTTTCGTAGTAAATTTGCCGGATCTCAGATGAATCCGACTCCTTTACTAATGAAAACCTCAATTACTCGCTATCGTGGTTTGAGACACTTTCCAACCTGTTTGACACGGGGAAATGATTTTGTCGGCAAGTAGATTCTTTGGCTTCCATGACGCTGAGTATGCGTCAGACTAAGGGCTTATGTTCAGTGGGAGCACTGGTAGGCAGTTAGATCGAAAGGACACTGCTGTTGAGGGCAACTGATTGCTATTTCAACTCATTCTAAGCACGGTTCCAAGGAATTCTTCAGAGAGCCAATCGATTTCTGGGTAGAAAGAAATGCTTATCGTTTCGCAGATGTATCCGCCCGAACGTTGTGCGACTCTTTTTAAGGGTAATTTAACTACCACACAGTGTCATTACCGGTTTAATTCACTTGAGATGCTGCTCTTCCGTTTCCGGACTTTGAACACATCCGACTTGAACTGGTTTGATCGAGACCGAATAATTCACTTGGACCCAACACTCTTTTGCCCTCGTCGCCGAAAGACGGTGCTAAGAACGAATCCGGTCGAGTTCATAAATTTATTTTTATTTAACTTGACTTGAACTCATCATCTATCGGCTTTGTTGCTCTACTCGGCATTCCATAATACACTTAGATATCCTCAGATGGCCTGTTATTGCCTGTCATCTCAGTCTGTCAGTTGAGTTGATGTGCGTAGTGGTAACACCCTCGAGACATTTACTCTGATGTGACTGCCTCCAAGCTTCTCTTATTGTTACTGACAGGGACGTGTGATACGAGCTGTCACATTCAGGTTAAAGGTTGCTCTTTTCGCACTCATCCACCAGTCTGTGCGGATTGTCTCTGCTTTATGTCTTCTTTATCAGCACTCGATTAGAGGCCATAAGGGAGTTGCGTCAAACGGTGTGCTCGTTTGAGTTCTGATATTCTACTTTTTACTGGTGTAAGCTAGCATCATTTGCTGAGTTCTCTTGCCTGTTTTTCTTTCAGTCGACGTTAAGCGATACATCACGGAGGCGCGCGAAACTGCGGAGGTAGCAGCGGCAGCTGCTCTGGCTCAACGGCTCCGTGAGGCGAACAGCGAGTCTGTGCACGATACGCAGTCTGTTGGACGCCCCAAAACCAGCGGTGAAGGGAGCATCGACAGCATGTCAATTACTGCTGGTCGTTTTTCCGACACCCAAATGGACTACTGCGCACCTTCTCAGGGAGTATCAAATTTCCAGCCTGGCTATTCCTCCCAATCCCGTTACTATGGCGCTTCGGTGAGTCAATTTGTTTTATTATCCATTTAGTGTTTCCGACTGTAATGGACCTGATGCGTTACCGTCTGCTAAAATCTTGTACTCAGCTTCTGTCTCCTCTGAGGTAATTGATATTGCTGTACGTACCTGCGGAGCATGTCACTGTCCAAAATCTATCTACCCATTCACGTCTCAGCTTCCATATGTAGGTCCTAAACGCTCAAAAAAAATCATCCAAAACCAAGTTGCCTACACTTTACCAATAAAGCACTGCCGTACTGGACTACTGCAAAAACACAAAGCGACTTCGGAGAAACAGCTCCTTTATGTTTGCGCTGTTTTGAAACACATGTGAATAGATCACTTCAGACACGATCCAAGTGATAGAGTTGCTCAAGGTGAATCACAATTCACATTGCGATTGCGCGTCGCAGTCCATTCCCACAATGAGTGCTTCGAAATGACCTGCTCAATGAGTCTGTACCGATTGTGACAAACGCTTCCTGTGACTCTATGGTTCAGTAAACGCTTCATTTGAGTACCCGGACTCAAATCTCATTTTTGCTCTCTACCTGACAAATGCAAGTAACTACGAGACCAGTCATAGAGTTCAGTTTCACAAGTGGGGACATCCTTTGAGGCTTTCACTACTAAGTGTAACCCGTTCATAAGTGTCCGTCTCGGTGTCAGAAGCGTCATCAGAAGCGTGGTCCGACTCAGTTTGAAGCCCACTGACCAGCAACTTGCTGATGACAACATTCTTATCCTAGAGGCAGAGAATGTAAGCACTCTCGGTACTTTCCATCCATATAGTCAGAATGTTGCTGATTGTTGTTGGAGATGAAAGAAAAACACAGTGTTTTTCCATGTTTTAGAACATTTGTTACTACTGCTTGTTACATGCCCCTCACACGACCCGTGGTTCTTTCAGATCGATAAATTCAAATTAGCCCTCAGCCGTGACTGGGACTGAACTTTGTGTGTTTTGATACCCACGCCGGCCCGTGTAGTGTTCTGCAAATATACCTCCTGTCCGGTGCGTGTCTTTTTGACTCGTGGGGTGCAATCTAAGAAGTCGAACGCCTGGGGACACAACAGATTTCTGGCGACGGAGGTGTTGAATTATCATGGCTATTTCATTCGAGCAGTTGCAGTCCCTCCTTCAGCAGCAACAACTCCAGTTTGAAAAATCACAGCGGCAGTTAATTCAGCTGTTATCAGAAAAGCTCAACATTCAAGTGGAATGGGAACCGGAACCGAGGTTAACAGCCCAGGAAATTGTATCTGAATACCACAAGCTGCCCAGTTTGAATCATGACCCAGAAACGATTGCAACTTCAGAACACAGAGAAGAACCCCAGCCCTGTCATACATTCATTGGTGTCCAAAATGTGAATGGAAACGTGCCGAACTGGAAGCCCCAGACTGCAGTGTGGAACGGTGATGGAAGACGTTCTGTGAGAAATTGCGCCCACAAAAATCATCATTGTCAAAAGGCGCACCAATTCAGATGCGCGTATACTCCAAGGTTGCAAGCGAGCTCAAAATTCAAAAGAAACAGGTATCTCGGCACAGTGAGAGAGACGCCTTTTGCAGTATTTCGTACACACTTTTCAGGGAAGAGGAAATACCCCACAGTGAAACGCAAGTATGTCCCGATATCGCTGCTGCCAGAAACGTTGCATGCTCTCAAGAGCACTTCTCTTGGAACCCGGGCAAGACTTGGCACATCGTCAGTCAAACCTACAATCCTAACGGTTAAAAAGGTTTCAGAGGAACCTCTGCAGCTGAAAGGAAGCATCGCCTGTGAACGTAGACTCAATGATTTGCTACACTATGGAAAAATCTACCCAGTATACTCTACAAATGTTAAGCTGCACGGAACCAACCGGATTACGAAGTTAAATTTGATCAAAGAGTCAATGACTCATCTACCAGTACCAGCGACACTGATGTCTTGGCCGAAGCCCGTACCCCCATGGTCGCAGATCCAAGTGGACTTAGGTGGATCCGCGTCGAAAGACCTATGTGAACACCAGGTAACCCGTTTTTTTAAGAGAGGGAGGTGTTGGAGATGAAAGAAAAACACAGTGTTTTTCCATGTTTCAGAACATTTGTTACTACTGCTTGTTACATGCCCCTCACACGACCCGTGGTTCTTTCAGATCGATAAATTCAAATTAGCCCTCAGCCGTGACTGGGACTGAACTTTGTGTGTTTTGATACCCACGCCGGCCCGTGTAGTGTTCTGCAAATATACCTCCTGTCCGGTGCGTGTCTTTTTGACTCGTGGGGTGCAATCTAAGAAGTCGAACGCCTGGGGACACAACAATTGTACGCAATATTGTATCTTTTAACGCTCAGTTTATAGTTTTATGGATTCTTTTGTATTGTGGTCTGAGATGTTGCTGGTCCGACATTCCCAATAGTCTATCCGTTATCCGCACGGTTAGCGAAATTGCAACAACCCGTTATCACCATCCTGGTCCTATCGAGAACTCAGCACTAGACACGCATTAAACAGGTGCTCCGACTAGTGGGAAGTTGCAAACACACTATTAGCACCAACAGCCACCCATGTCCATAAATTCAACCTGAGTGCACATGTAGCCGCAGCCTAGATGGTGAGACTGGTTGATGGCACTCAACCTAATGGTGGCTAGTGATTTAACTCTCAGGTATGAACAAAACGAAGTACGCGGTTCTTTGTCGGACGTCCTTTCGATTTTCTTAACCTCTACAGCCGGTGGTCGAGAAATGTTACGCGCTTACCTTGTGATCCGGAGGTCACTGGTTCGCGTACGTGCCGGCGACCTCACGGTATACTGAACCCACGCGCGACTGTTGCCGCTCGCGTGGCAGCGAAGCGTCAGTACGGTGTGCCAGCATACCGCTTAGGCTTTTTTTTACCTTGCTCAGGCCGAGGGAAAGCACACCGCTGACGAACCCCAACAGGGCGAAACGGTGAACCGGTGCTTTTCCGGATTGGTGGTTAGCTGCTGGGACGAATCAGTAAACTTTCATCTAAAAATTCTCCTATTCATCAGTAATCTTCGATTCTGTTTTTGTTTCTTCCAGTACTCACATCGTGGAACTTTCTCTTCTCATAATTTTGACAACTCCCTCGGTAAGTCATCCTTAACCTCTCTTGATCTATCTTCGAATGTACCTTACCCACCATATCTCGATTCGCAGGTGACAAATACTGTTTGAGTGAATGGGACGCTGTTTTTCTGTTTGATTGGATGAGTGGACCCTTGTCCGGACAGATGTAGCTACGTCAGTTAGCACGGCGTAGTGTCTCACAATGTTCGCTTGCTGCGGATACCGTGTATGTGTATCCACACTAGACAACTGATCCTAACTACGGCACATAGCTAGGAATTGCAAGGGCTGCATATCTGAGTTAACATCCTTTGTTTCTCACTGTTTACACTGTACCTTTAGCATCACGTCTTTCGGCTATTGGATTTGTTGTGGAACCCGAATCCAAGGCGACCGACGTGAGATTGAACAATCAGAAGGGCAACACGTGGAATTCACGCGGGGCTGCTGGATCCATCTCACACGACTACCAAAATGTGAATTTAGCCCGCCGCCCAAAAGATGACTCTGCGGCGGACCATTTGCATTCCAGAACTGAGAAATCCGTTTCGTGCAATCTCAGTAATGCACAATCCAATGATAAAAACTCTGGAGACGTTACCGACTTGGAACTGCTTTGGTCGGAGAATGGAAGTCTACGTCAAGCTAGCGTGCTGCATGAATTTCGTGCCAAACGGCCAGATGAGCTTGATCTGGTTGTGCACGAAACAGTGGTTCTCTTGGAGTCGGAGGATAAAAATGGCTGGATAAAGGTAAGTAGAGTCATTCCACCTCCTGCTGACCTGACCGATGTCATTGGCATACATAGCGTTCAACTGTGTGTCGCTAATTTCTTCCCATGGTCTCATGTTACCAGTCGGGTGTGTGCGGCGTGATCCCTATTCTTTACTGACTACCAGTCGTGATCACGCAGCAGTCTATGCTTTGGATAAGCGCTGAGTATACTGTCAGCCCCAAGGCATTCCCTTTGTCTACTGTGGACAAGCACTGCACAAGTGGATTGTGTTTGTATCTCATCACTAGTATGCACATAAGTGGAATCTCAAAGGAAGAATACCACTCTCAACATGCTGTCATTGGTCATGGTGATGTTTGATGTGGAATGACCTCAACATTTCTTCACCGACAGAGACAAGCTGCCCTTTTTATTTTTGGAGACATTCTTATTGTAGGCTGATCGATGCAAAAACACGGAAACTTTTTTGTGCGCGTGTACCAAGTGTTGCTGGTGGTGATAGGCATTCTGGGGCACTCCAACAATGGATTAGGAGAAAGGAAGACGACGCAAATAGAATGCTAACTTGGGTCCCTGACAGAATTACTCGGACCTTGTCACAGGTCTATTCGCTTCGCACTTACGGTTGTGCGTCCATCTCATTGGGCTGCACCTGCGTTAGCCATTCCAATGAGCGTGTTTTTGATCAGATCGTTTGGCTTGGCCCACTTCCATACTGTTGTGCACCGGAGTGCATAGCTCATCGATCGTCTGAGTGATTTCCGGGGGGTAGTAGTAGTTGTGAATACACGTATGGATGAGTGTCACCGTGAATTCAGAGTGCATGATCGTATCACCTCACTATTCCGATGCACAATGTCGCATGTTGCGTATTTGTAAGGGACGGGAACGCACCGGAGCTTCCGATTGTGCTGCTCTGAGACAGGAGCTTCAAGTGGTTCGATGAGTTGTGTGTTTTATTGATCCACTGAGCTGCGAGTGATAAAAAGTGCTTTACTCAAAAATATCAACTGATGGTACGGGCTAGGTGGCTTGACTGTCCATACTATAAACACAAAAAACAACCCTAAAGATGAATTACATAAGTGACGACTTACTTGCTTTGCAAGGCACACCGGCACACGGCCAGATGGAGCATGGAAGTGCGAGTGAAATCCATCGAGAAAATAACCCTCATGGAAGCAGGTCCCCAGGAGGCGGTCCCAGTAATGGTCGTAGTACTTCACTTATACGTTTTATTTATCTACACTTGTTGTCTTTAAAAAAACCTCACCATTCTCCCTACATATTTAACCGACCAATTAGCCATGTCCGGGAAATGACTTTAGGACTGCTTTGGAGTATTCGAAACATATAACTGATCCTTGAGATTTTGCCCTACATCAAAAATCGTGATATCCACTTGGACCGTGCTTCATACCGACGAGAGATTTACATTTGTTTTTTATTTACCACAAATTCATATTGCCCATGCAAGAGCATGATACTACCCGTACAGCTTCTCGTTTAAAGAGAAATATACTTATTATTAACACTTTTCTAGCCCTTGGAGCTACCACACTAGACAGATAATTACTTTTACGACAGACATCTTCACTCCCGACACCTTCTTCGCAGGAGGTTGACAAGTCGATGCCCCCTTTCTTCAAAACGCACCCGCGGGAGTAAATAATTAACCAGCCATGCGCTTAGGTTGACAGATGTGGGGTGCGAAGATCACGGATTATTGGTCATCTGTTTCCCATTGGCTGCCTCAATCTAGGTAACTTCCAACGGTTGAAACGGATACTTAGCGATATACACCTGCGATTTATCGTGGTATATTAACACATGTAAACCGTTCGTGATCCTCTAGTTACCTCAAGTAGGTGACATCCGTAAATTACAGTAACATTTCTGAGTTGCTAGATCGGTTCATCATGAGCAGATGATGGCGATCGGTTTGCTCAAACATGATCAAGAGACCTAATCAGTCTGGGGCCTCGGAATAAGACGCATCAGTAGTTGAGATCTGACATGGCGCGGTCGCGGGGGCTGCAGCGCTCCTGCATTTGGTCTCTTTCATCTAGCTGTTGATACACCAGCTTGATTGGTTTCACTCAATTTTCCTATTCACATGTTCTATCCTACCTGATTTGTGCCTCACTTCTCTTATCATTGTTAATTACTGTTGTCCTGAAGATGTTATTCGTGGTAACTGAACACGCGGTGCTTTGTTACCAAGACTAAAGTTGTTTAACTGTAATGAACTTCTGTCGCTTTTCACCTCATAATACGAACCGCATAGTCGCCATAAGGTGTAAATGAAACACACCCGTTGACTGCAGTTTCGCTTGACCGACTAACTACAACGCCGATTACTCATCTCATATAGTATGTATCTTCAACACCTTACTAGTTGCAATACAATTGGCTGAGCGCCACAACACGTACGAGAAAAAACAGTAGAATTATGCGGAAAATAACCATTAGAGAAGAGAAGTCTCACAGCAAGTGCGCCATGACTTACTGTCCTTGGTCATATTCAGTAGCGTTTGCAACCAGATGTACTCGCGATCCTTTGATCCTAACCCCGGGAGTCAGAAAAAGCCAGCTTCAACGTTTGCACCTTAATGCATTGGATCCGGATTTTACATTAACCTCCTCGGCGTCACTTCTAGTCCACGCCTGCGCTCGCAAATATGGCACGTCGTGGTAGCTGCCAGCGAGGCGTCCGCAGTGAATTGATGCTGTCAATCGGTCGGCAGAGTTTGTTGGATCGCTCATTACTTATGTGATGCTGCCATTGAACACCAGCAATGCTCCGTAGGCAGCAGTGGTCGAAGACAAATAGTCGCTGAACATCATTATTGCGAACCTCTGAAGTCTCGCAGCCATACAGCAGAATTGCTCGTAGTGTTGCATTGTAGATTCCTCCCTTAAGAGCTGGACTGAGGTCCAGACGACAACGCAGGTGACGGAGGTTAACACCTTTATAGAACATAAAATATAGAAAATGGAATTCTTGATAAAATTCCATATCCGTTCCACTTCGCCCTTTGCTGTTACAAGTGCGCCACCAGGGCAATTAGTCTCCTTCGCTTGGGGGGTTGGAGCAAAGACAGTTGTATGGGATCGCGAAGCGACATGTGTTCGGCTCGAGCCTTGTCAGAGTTATACTTTCTTTGATGTAACGGCGACGCCAACTATATCCCCAAAATGAATATGCTAGCTATATCGCAATGAGGCTGAACCTTTACGTGGTGTAATGATTTGCCTACCTCAGTGATCCATTGAGCTGGACTAGTTGGCATTTCTTGAACCGGATGGGTCATCGGTTAGTATTCAGACTAACTCCATCTCCTGATCCTACAAGCTGGGGATTAATGTGTTGGTGGCCCCTTACTCACACTGCCTTCCAACTAAATAACTAAATGCTATGTTATCCACAATGCGAGGCACGCGTGCGTATAGGCATGATCATGGTAACACTACATGAATGATATGCAAATATAACGAATTGTTATAAGTTTACATGAATGTATGTGTATGCGAGGGTGTATGTTTAACAAGATGGCTTCTTGGATTTGTAGATGTGCTGCAGTGTTTTCGACTGTGATTGATCGGACGGTTGGTGTGAGGTGAGATCAGTGGAAATCTTCTAGGTGGATGAATGACGTCCGCTGAATGGGTCCAAACATTTATATAGACAAGGAGCAATGACTTCATTTAGTGGCGAATCACATCCACCACGTCGCAGTGTTAACAAAACATTTGTGGCTTTTTATAGAGCGAACGCTTGCCATGCGAAAACCCACCACGTCCGGGAACACAAACGCCAAACTATTCGCTAAAACGAGACTTATCCGAACCACCCAGCTTGCACCGCGAGGAGGTTGTTCGGCGAGCCAGCCAAAAGTTTTGGTCGAGTACCCTAATCGATCTTCTGTCTAGGCCTGGACAACCTGGCAGTATTCTGCCCACTTAGTACAGTGACAAAACTTACGCAATTTCCTGATGCTTTGGCCGTCGCAGAGGATAATCAACGGCGCACTATTTGCTTAGTCGACCAGGATGGATAGGAGTGAGGATGGTACTGCTCCTCCTACTTTCCCGTCTTCTTACCTCTCCTACGCTGTTTCATCCTTATCGTCCCGTTTCAGTTTTACTTTTATTCCTTTGTTTTCAATCCCAAAACCTTTGGCCCTCCTCTTTCTTGCTTGTATAAGCGTTTTGTCTTATAGTTGCAATTCACAAACAATCGCAGGCCGTTGCTCCGGTACAGTCAAAAATTCCTTGTCCAGCCAAACGGACAACGTCGTTTCTCTTTGGAGCCCTCGATCTTCGCTAAGACTGGCATGCCTCAACGTGCACACTGCTGCAGATTGACCAACAGGCAGCACTTGCCCGAACATTAGAGACCATATTGATCGACATCTGCTGTTTATCGTAAACTCGCCTTCATGATTCGAGCTCTTTGCTTACCATGTCATCCCCCACAAACGACACTGACTGCACTTTTCCACTGCGCCTGTCCGGAGTTGACGCAACCTCAAATGCGGATCAAGCTGGTGTGTGCGTTGATTTGCATCTTCGGGCTAATGCTCTTCTGATTGATTGGATCCCAATGAGCAGCGGAGTCCGCTCCGTCAGATTGACCGGCTCTTTTAAAGCTTTGAAGTCGCGGGGACAGACGTTCCACCTTTGTCATCACTGCATACGCACCCACAAACTGTAGTGAAGGATGAATTCATTCACTAACGGAACACTCCTTTGTTCAGAAAAAATACAGATGCTATGGTGCTTGTCGGTGATCTGAACGCCCATGTTAGAAAGCCGTCCATTGACAAATTTTATCTGGGCGGCCAGCACTGTCTAGGACCTCGTAATAATAACGGCGGGCGGTTCATACACCTGTGTAACGATGCTCGTCTATTTCTCGCGAACACTAACTTCCGACACAGCAGTCGCCGAAGAGTGACGTGGCGCCCACCATCCCTGTACCAGCCATAACGCAAATCGATCACACCGTGATCATTTACAGCTGAAGAGGTTGTGTTCAAAACTGCCGCTCGATTTGGAGCACAAGCATAGACTGCGATCACGCACTTGTATGGGCCGATCTGCAGATGCTTTTCTACGAACGTCCACAACGACGGTGTAGGCACATTGACACCAGTCAACTGGCGAAGCCTGATGTTTTGAGTGCGCATCACTTTACGCTGGCATCCAGGCTAAGCACTCACAACACAGTCGGAGATCACTGTACGTATATTCCCCTACGTTATTTGCAGCATGAATGCCTTCATGTGGCAAATCCAACTGCCAACGTGGACATTAGGTATCTACACAGTCTCTGGAGCTGGAAGTTGGCGGACACATTCCGGTCGGAAGCGAGCACGAGACCGACAAAACTGTGTGCTAGACTGATGAGAGTCCGCGGAACCTGGTTGTCTCATCGTTCATGGGATATGTAAATGGCCACTGCCCTTGTTAACCATCGGAACTTATGCCGTCTGATACCGGAAATGGGCAACTGCTGACTTGATGTTACCAAATCGCATATATGCGACGAGAGTGGACAGGCAATCCACGGCTTTTTAAAACGCTCAGCGGTTTAATCAGCCATAGTTACCATCTTTCTTATCGGTCAGTGATTAACCTACTTCTTTGGGCTGCTCTCACGCGCAGAAGTCGAACGTGATATCAGACTGTTGACATTGAATAAGGCCGCAGGAGCAGATAGACTTTGTCCAGACCTCCACAAATTCAGGGGATCTGCTTTTGTGAATGATTTTTACAATTTACTACGAAGTTTTGGGGGCAAGTAACTGTTCCAACGGACTAGAGCCGCTCCGTTACAGCCCCAGTTTCTATAGGTGTCCCAGGGTCAGAATGCGCATTCACAGAAGTATCAGTCTGATCTCTATTGCGTCTAAGATGCTTGTCTTTGTCGTTCACCATAGACTTGCTGACTCCGGTGAAAGCCAGATTAATGCGGAGCAAGCAGAATTTCGTTGCCTCAGTTGTTGTGCTAAAATCTTCACATTACGTCTATTGTAAGAGCACCGCCATATTTTATTGGCGACCCATCATATTTGTGTTCCTCAACATCAAAGGTGCCCTTTGGGGATGTCTGCTCAAGAAAGCTGTGTCCGATAAATATGCCGTTATCAGAGCGCTGTACTCGCAGTTTGGACAGAGCGAGGGCTTATGGCAAATTGTCACCGTCCTTCAACATTTGCAGTGCTGTGAGACAAGGACACCTGCTTCCTCTTTTCCTTTTGACTTTGCTGTTGACGAAGTTATGGGAACTGCTTTCGCCAGACACGACTTGGAACCCGTTGAGTTGTTTCCAAATAATCGACTTATTGATTTGTGTGACAGATCCTAAACGTGACAAGCAGAACTGGGGGAGTTAGCACTGGTCATCAGCTGTTTCGGACTCTCCGAATGCAAAAATTTCCTATAACAATAACAGGGACTGTCCTTTGCACTGACCCTTTTGGCGGATCAGCTAGAAGTACTTCAGAAATTCAACTACCTGGATAGATGTATCAACGCATGTGGAGTAGAAGACGAGTTCACGAGCCGTATAGAAATAGCTCGTGTTTTGCTTAACTCCACAACTTGTGACGCAAGCGTGACATTACTCTCTCTCTCTCTCTCTCTCTCTGAATGTTAGAGTCTAAATTGAAATCGTCTGCTCATCCCTACTCTGCGGCTGGGAGACATGGCTCATGACATCCACAGACACAAAGAAGCTTACTGCGTTCGACCACCGGTTCCTTCGCAGTTTAGCTCATGTCTGGTGCGAAGACCGCTTGAGCACTGAACGTGTTCGGCGCCTTGTTTATGCTCATAGAGAAGTGATTGAGCCGCTACGCACCATTATATCACGCACCTGGCGTCAATAGTTGTGCTATGCGTCTGAAAGAGAAACATGTTTTGTTGGACACACTTGCTTCCATGAACAAGTGATGCCCAACTTGTATAGCGTTTGTGCAGGGAGTTTCTTTCACTCCTCCTCATCCTCCATTGACTCTTTTGTTGTCGACATGCAAAATGAAACAAACCATAATAATATTTATGTCATGTTTTACTTTTGTTGCCTTTTACTCTGACCTAAGTGAATTGTATTGCGGTGCGATACCCGGGGTTTTTCTCATCCGTATCTTGTGTGTAGAGTGATAATAATGTGATATTATTCCTATCCTCATTTAATTATGATCGGGGGGTTAGCATAAAAACAAACCGGAGATGTGCCACAGGAGAAGTTTTCTGATTCCCCTGGGTCTAATCTATTACCTCCGGGACGATTATCGTCCATCAGTGTGTTTTCTCTGGTAGATGCATCACAACTTGCCTTGACTTTCAATGCCCTATTTGGCATTCCCATACGAACGCCTTATATCACCCTATCGGTTAGTTGCGTCTCCTTTTCAAATTTTCCTCTTACTGTGTTCGTGAAAGCCACCAGGCAGCTGTGCTTATAGAGAAATCCTTGATTGAGTATGTGACCCATCAATCCTAGATCATGCGTAAATCCGGGGTAATAAGCCTGTTAGTTGGGGACACGATTACTTGGAACCAGCCATCAACACTAACACCAGGTGGATCTATCCAAGCGGTGGCGAAGGTATACTTACGCCATCATGAATCGACCGCAGTGGCGACGCGTAGTAGGCGATGAAACAGTATCTCTGATGACACTTGTTAATGGACACACAATCGTGCCAACTGTCGGTGCTTAAGTTACAAGCCAGATTTGCCGCTAAATTAGCAGGCAACTCATGATGAATTGTTTTTGCTTAACTGAAGCTGATCACGCGCGGTCGCTACCCATGCAAAGGAATATATATATATATATATATATATATATATATATAATTAATCTCCCTTAGGCTGTGCATGCAATTCAGCTCAGTACTTACGCTTGCTCTTGTTAGCTTTCATTGTGTTCTCAGTGGACTCCCATCATTTATGCCTTTAGGTACGAAGTCTCATCGACGGGAACGAGGGTTTGGTCCCGATCAACTTTCTTCGTCTTCACGACTTACCTAGTGGCCCCAAATCCGACGCTGTGAACAACCGGGAAGTGACAGGAGTGAAAATCGACCTAGGTCCAAGCGGAGATGACAAGGCGCCAAATGATTCAACGAAGAGCCATGTAGAAAGTCATCAGACTTGTACAAAACGTTCCACGCTAGGTATATCAGATCAAACGTCTGCACGTCGACATCATCAGTCACCAGTTAACTCGAACGTAAAAAGCGCGCGTAAAATTCGGACAAGTTCACTTCCCCCTTCGAGCCAAGCGCAGACACTGTCACCATCTAAACGCCCTATCGCCCTTGGTGAGTGATGTGCTCTGTGCATGACAACGTGTGCCGTCACTACCTTCCTAAGTATGCACATTACACTAGGTAAGTGAAACCATTATCGGACTAAAAAGGGGCTAGTATTTGGGCTTTTAACACGAATACGACCGTTTTTATTGGTTCTCGTTTGCAAGATCATTCCGATAGTCTATTTCCTTTGTTTCCGGTTGTTATTTCATGCAGGACTGCAGCATCTAAACTATTTTAGAGCAATCTACCAGTGCATAGCATGGCATACTGCTATCGTGCACGAATTATATAGTAGGTTACATCAATATCCGACCGTGCTGGACTCCACTTTTGCTTCGGGATCACTGTTTTATACGTGGTTTTCTGTGTCAATTATGCACCAATATTTTTCTTTTGGTGTATTCCTCAATCTGTGCAAATTTGGTGGATATTCCCTGGCTAATTTCGAAGTTCTCATTGATTGGTCCAACTGCCGTCTGTGTCCGCCATCTTGGATTTGTTCTACGGTGATCGTCCATCATGACCACCACACCGATAACCGTAACGAGATATCTTGTGCTAAGGTAGTACAAGTAGCTTTGACTTGCACAAATTGCCTTGTCCGGTACAATTCGTGGTGTGTCAATGTCTGCAGAACCGACATAGAAATACAATACGCCGGGTTTACGTTGGTTCTCTCTGTAGTGTACGACGATTTCACTAGTCAAATGCTTACTAGCGTTAACACAAAGATACAACAGCCTAATCGCCGGAACTGAACATCCTTTGAGTGCAAAAATTTTATCTTGCACCTCATCCGTCTCCCTCCATCGATTCCTCGAAACCAAGGAAAAGGGGTTCACACAGCCACACAGTACTAGAAACCTTGGGAACCACGAAGCAAGTCGTCATCGCGACTGATAGAAGCATGTCTAGTCATACTGCCCACATCCTCTTATCCAATCTATCGACTGATGCAACATCGGTATTAGCCATCCTTCCGGTTGACCAACGAAATCCGTAACGACTTAAAGACTGATCCACCTATGCAACCGTTGCTACTCGGTATAATCAAAGTGCAAACTCAGTAGCATCACCCAGTGTAACCCAAAAACGAGTCAGGAATCAGGTGCAACCTGTAGAGATGTCACTAAATGCCTCGATAACCGTAGAGTAGGATGCTTTGTGTGGTGTCGATGAATCGTGATTGTGCAGTTGTGTAGATACGTGATAGAGCAGACCTGACTTTGTACCCGGTGTCGTTCGCAACGTAATCCCCTTTGAATGGTAAGGCCAGGGAAACATCCTTTCTCTTGACTGTTTCCTTGAAGAATCTGCTGTAGACTTGGATGAACTTCTTAGAATACCTTGTCTTTAATAGATCCATGCTGCAAATTCTCCGGGTTTTGTATAACAGTGTCTTCGCAAGGCTGCGCTTATATACGTAGCCGGGACAAGGCTGTAAAATGAGGTATACTCTTCTTGTAATCCCCGAAAGTGAGTCTTAAGGTTGTGCTTTTTCGCAGTGGGAACTGTATTCTCCATCTATTCCAGCATCGCATGTATCCTCATGAGAGGATATACCATAACTGATATACCATAATCTGCATAAAAATATCCTCAACTCAGCGAAGCAAAGAATAGAGATATTTTGGATCTTCACCTTCGGGAGTTCTTCAAAGATGACCGGTTCAAGTACCTGCTGCATTGTGACGCGCTACCAACATACGCCTTGTCTACAAACCTTATCGAGAATGCTAGGGCAGAAAACTACAATGAACTAGTAAAAGACATTGTTGCAGTATCAGGAAATTGGCCACAATATGCCTCCAAAACGCTACATCCTTCTTCTCTGCTAACTGTAGTATTCTTAGTGCTGGATATATATCACATCAACGGGGGTAGGACATCATGTGAAATGGTCGAGTCAATGTTCGCTGATCACTGGTGGACATCCCACATTGATGCTCGCAAACATTTTACTGGAAAAATTTAAGTAACTTCTATTTTATCGAAATACTGTAGTTATGCAGTTCGTCATACAAAAATTTATTTTTTTGCAGCATACGGAAAGGACTCGAGCCAGATTGCAATTTGAATGTGTTGTTGCTGTCGATTTGTGGAGGCATCTGTCGATCGGTGTTTATTCCGATCAAAGTTTGTATGAAATAAAAATGCTTATTACATTCAGGATATCAAATAGAATGCTGTAACACATTTCCAGCAATAAAAGAACAAGCTACTCATACACACACGTGAAAGAGTAACGCTTGAAATTAATGACGCACTTGCAATAACCCATCCACAAACGATGAATTGCAGGTTCCATCGCAAAATGTCCAGATACGGAGTGAGGACTAGAACTAACTATTCATCGGACGTTCGTAGACTGAATGGATATTTCCCAGTCGATAAAGCGACAAATCGTCGTTCCTTTCCAAACTGAACTAGAAGAACTAGGAGCAATAATTTTTACTAACACCGGTTGTGGGAAACCGCTATCTTTGAACGGATGATTCGTGGGCAAATTTAGAAGAGTTCCAAAAGCGTCAGCGCTCATCATGCAAATTATGCCTTACTCTGCCATCTATCACAAAATAATCTGAGTTCCACTAAATGAAACTGGGGGAGTTGTCAAGCTATAAGCGTTCATGGTTTCACAACGGACGCACTCATCCTCTGCTCAAGTTCTTATTGTTGCTCTCCGGTCACCTTTGTTTTCCTACCTGATTCCCATCGAGATTGAAGTCGTATTCAAACATTGCACTTGTCTCTAGATGGATTTTGAACTACTACATAGATCTATTATCTTGATAAACGTGCATCTTTCCTTGGCTCCTACTCAAGACGTCTTTGATCCTGTTCCCAGTGCAGATACCACAACTAGCACCACAGAAAATGACGGAACATCTCGATCCCCCCTCTGTCCTGGAACATTCGTTCGTGCCTTGGTCGAGTTTGAAGGCACCAACTCGGATGAACTACACTTCTGCACCGATGCGATCATTCGTGTTCTAGGTAAAGCTCCCGTGCCGCAAGATGCCACGAATGACGGTGTGGCATCAGTTAACGCCCATTCCAGTCGGCTAAGTAACTCATTCTGCTCCGGTGTGGATGACGGATGGTTAGAGGGGGAACTATTGATTCGCTCAGAATGTCCTCACTCAACCTTCAAGTATAGTCGAGTCAGAGGTGTATTCCCGTCTATGGTAGTGCAGCCTCTTTCTCCAAAAGAATCAGAGCCGTGGTTAGCTATCTGGCGGACTGCTCTTGATCCAAGCGGCACTTCACAACAGCCAACAGCAGTCGAGGGTAAGTCGGTTGGTCCCCATTCCTACTTATAGTTTACATGTGGACAGATGATTTTGTTCGTTTTAGTGAAATAGCCGTTTAGTGTTTTCGCATATCGGTACTCACCTTGCTGCAGAATGGATTTCTAGGGACCCTATGCCTGTTCTGTTGCATTGTCAAACACCGTCTTCTTGCTTACGTGCATTTTCACAGTGAAAAGTGAGTTACCATTGCTACCATCTTCACTACATCCAGTGAGATTCGCGCACAGCTATCCTTGCGACGGACAACTGCTGTCCGACGTTTCGTTTTTCCCGATGTACAACGAGCTCCCTTATTATCACGCTCCATTCCCTAGCATGATTGTGCTTATTGATTTAACTGTCAAACCTTTTCTTTGGTCTTTCTAGAGCACAAAGCAAATGGTGCTTATTCACGCGTCGAGGAATCGTGTGCTCAGCAACACGTTGCAACAAATTCTGCGTCGATTGGAAAATCCAGTGTGTCTCCTCCTCTCTTTGGGTCTCCGAGCCAAGTTGACAAAGGTGCATCCAATGATGATTACATTCAGTGGTCGACAGATAAACCGCATGTCATGGCATTGCAGAGCTTGGTGGATGTCATGTTCGACAGCAGCTTGCGAAATCCATCAGATGAAGAAGTACGTTCTTCTTGTTAATTCAGATAAGCGTCGGGAAATGCTGCTAATTCATACTACAAAATAATATATTCAACTTTTCGTAGATGTGTTGATGCACGCATTCACTGCGTGGGCGGATCGTTACAAAATCCCGCCCCTCCGGTACTATTCAAAACAGTATGCACAATTTTTGTTGTTGTTACCCGAGGGTGTGATGTACTAGTCATCTTAATGCTGTGCAAATATAGCTCTCATTAGCGAAGGCAACGAATGGGACCTTTATCAAATTTACCCCTTCCGGCCTGGGCACCCAGAGTGTTGTACTTCTAACTTACTTCGTGTCTTGGCTTAACACTAGAACTGCCCTCTGTTCTACTCGGTACATTATCCTAGTGAAGCCATGTGCATCCCGAAATTCTGATAACTCGACCTATCTTTCATCAGAAACGACATCACCCTCATTTTGAATCGCGTCTAATATTCCTATTGCACGTGCTCAAGGTGTCTCGTGAGGCATCAAATAATACTCTTCGGCAACGGTGGTACGTAATTTACACAGTGATTGCGCTCGCCCATGGGCTGTAGATCTCACTATGCCATTTCTTAATTGATTGCATCCTTAACACAATGGTTTTCATCCGTAGTTCAGCAAGTTGCATCCTTAGCGCGAAAAGTATGGTCCGATAGTCACGAAAATTGCATCCACGACGTCCTCAGTGAGTCAGCACGCACGCCGCAAATGGACATCTGGTTTGTTCACTCGGCCCTCTGTGTGAAACACAACGCGCTCGACCAAGCCAGGAGGCGGGATGCAGTGTTCCATACATATTCACTGCTAAGTCTACGTTTGTCCGGAACCGTGCCGACTTCGCCTAACCTTCACATTGCAGGCTTTGGGATTTGGAGCCAGTTCGTGAGCAAACCGCTGCTTCCACCCCCTTATTGTCCGATGCTGGTGCGCACCCATACGAGCGCATGGCTGGTGTGAGCATACGAGATGTCCATTTGTGGCGAGCGGACAGCGGAGTCACAGAGGACGTCGTGGATGCAATTTTCGTGACTATCGGATCATAGTTTTTGCTTTAAGGATGCAATCATTTTAGAAATGGTATAGTCATTGTGAGAGTCCAGCCACTGAAAGCCAATCTTGCTCGCGCCCCGGTCGAGGATACATCGTTCGTCATCTACTGAAAAATCGACAAGTACACATACTGCCCGCTGAAAGCCGCCTTCCATTCTACTTGCTGCACTACCTCTGTTCGTGGAATCCCCAGAAAAACTTCTGCTTTAAAATCTCTCTTGCACGACGGTCAAGACGGAGTTAACGTCTACCGTAGACTTTTTGATCATAAACAACTATATCTTCTCAGCTTCTTCCTGAATGCAAGTTCTAGTGTGGTCGATTGACAGACTTAGTGCCCGCGGAGTCTTCTCTACATGCATCCCTGCGCAGATTGACGGGTTGCGCTAGACGCTTCAGAGTGCAGGCACCTTGGTCGACAGACTGTCGCTTCTAGCCATCACCGAACAGCCACTGGCTCATTTTTCCTAGCAACTGTATCATCTCCGTTGGTGACATCATCGAGGTTGCTGCACGTACCAGATAGGTCCACATGGCCTTTCAAGTTATCAACCTGTCAGCAATGGCAAGCTCCGACAGTGCGGCCGATGATACTGTACAGAAAAAATCAGCGATCAGTTAACACTGAAAACACTAAGAGATTGACCACAATGCTTTCTGAGTGTTGCACACATCTGGTGGGAGCACCGGATTAGCAACTCTGGCCCACCAATTAGAAAGAGACCTCGTGGTATCCGATAACCTCAGCCACTAACACTGACTAGATAATGCATCTGTGTCTCTGTGGCTGCCGGCCTCCGCGTGCACTGTCTACTATCGTTGATGCATCTACTTAAACGAAACCGCAGAGTGGTTAGTCGGTGACTCTACTTGAAGACATCAACGAACAAAATTGTTCAGGGGCTCGGGATCGGTCGCTTCAGTGGCTGAGGGATATGTCCGGCTTGGCGTTATCAATGCTTATATTCAACCAAATTTATTTCGTGCACTTTTGACCCCTTTCTTCCTTTTAGTGTGCCTGTGTTCTATCGCATTTTTCCCGCCACTTCTGATTTCAATCATTTAAATAACAACGCGTGTCGCGGCAACTGGATCCACCGAACTTTGTATTCTGGATAACAGTTGCTATGTATATCATCGAAAAAGTCATCGATCCCTGTCGGTAGTTAAAATTCACAACCTTAACGTTGTCTGCAATTCGTATTCGGTTTCGCTTCTTTCGCCAACGTTTTACGGAATCATGAGATCGTATTTGTATAAGCTGTCTTGTGTTGCAGCTGAAAAGCGCTTTATGGCGATTCCACCTTCTCTTCAGTGACCGACTATGCCGTTTTTCACTGCAAAATCTTTTACCTAGTTCCACTACTGCTAGTGCGTATATAACTTTTGGAGGATCGATCAAGTTACTGGACATTTATATTTAGTATATAAAACGTCTTACATGCAAATCAGACGCAAAATATTGGTCATGGGTTTTTGGTTACGTAGTTTTCCATTTTTTAGAATATTATTGACTAAAGCCATTCAGCTGACTCGCTCGACGCTTCCGATTTTTTGTTACAGCTGCCAATAGCTGAACTGTGACAGCACGATCACTATAGTGGGATGTACCACAACCTTTCGATCCCTTCGCAATCCTCTCCTTCCAACCGCACAAAGCGGTCACAGCGCCTCTGCTGCATTTACTCCAGATTCGCCTTTACACCTTGTTGATATGACTTGTTCTTTCTTTATCCAATTTTGAATTCAGTTTGCCAATGGTTTCCAAGTATTTATACACACCTGTTGGTCAGATACGCGATGGAAGTTCGATTCCTATATATACTCTTAACATGCATTTCGCAGCCGGCTGGTAATCGGCGTCTTCACGTTTCACGCGTTTATTTTGGTATACAGCCTTTCTTGCATAACAGAAATCGAAGGCCGGTCACTCGTTAAATCTGCTGCGAATCTGAAAACCCGGAGTCAGATCGTGCGTGTAGACTGTAAAAGAACATATTTATAGCTGTCCATTTTCCTCGAGTTTGGCGGACTCTTGTCGAACAAAGTGGACGAATGGTTAAAGTGACTCAGTATTGCTAAGCTGTTAACTGATCTGGCATCTAAGAGAGGGGTACAGTGAACCTGTCTCGCACCGTCAAGAATAAACAATTTATTTATTTATTTACACTTACTGCTAGCATAATCATATATCTGCGATTGTTATTACTCGATTGGATTCGACTAGAAACCTATCCAGATATCATCATCAGTACCCGTTAGCCGACGGTGAGAGACAACTCAGCTAATGCGCTGCAATGCAAAAATAGTTAAGAGATTAATCAATGAGGACTAAAAAACTATAAAAAGTGACAGTGCTAAACATCACATTGTGCATTGGGTTTGAGATTGTTGTCAGAGGGGAAACCAAGTAGACGGACAAAGGGTCTCACAGCACAAAACGCCACTGTGGTCGGGCCTTCGCCATATCAGCTAGTGTATCCAACAAAACATGTTCATTATCCTTCGGTCCCCAGCCCGGCAGTTAGGAAACACCAGTTGACGCAAGGTTCGAAGCGAGGAACTTAATTCCTCTTGATCAAGTCATCGATTGACCTCCTCTTCTTCCATCGACTCCGGGCGCGCAAACAACACACGGTGCGGGAGTCGATGTTTTGGCATGCGCAACACGTGGCCTAGACATCGGAACATGGTGCTGAGCGGTTCGCGCGGCGCCGAAACGCCCACTACTCACGCGATGTTTCCAAGAAACATGAGCTATGCTGCGAAGGTAGTGATGGTCTAAGGCAACAGGCCTCTTTATTTCTGTCGACTTGATTGGCCAGGTTTCGCAACCATACAAGAGGGTTGAACGGACGGCTGCATTGTGAACTATGCCCTTTATAGCGACAATAATGACATTCCGGTGCCACAGATAGCGGAGATTAACAAAAGCACTTCGAGGTTTGGATATACGGTTCGTGACGTCATCTTCAATCCCACGGGCGCTAATATATATGTCTAGATACTTGAATTTCTCAGATATTACCCCGATAAGAAACAAAATATCCTGGTGGACTAAAAGTAAAATCTTCCGTGGAAACAAATTTGGTCAATAATGTAAGCGAAAGCATCCCGTCGTTTCCAGAACATTATCATGCGACGGTTGTAAACTCCGATGTTGTCAATGGTGTAGCTGCCCCGAAAGGTGCTGCTGGACTAAACAACAAATGTGTGTACGTTCTCACACTACTTGTACAGGATTAAAAGAGCGATAAGATGACGCCGGCTGGCAGGTTCATGAATTTCGTATTGTCTCAGTACCGTTATACAACTCTGTACTTAACCATGGGTTTGCCCAAATAAGCATGAGGTATAAGGTGAATGGCAGAAGTTCCACCTCCATGTCCATGGCATCCTTAAGCTGACAAGTAATTGGTTGTTGCCCGCCTGAAATCGCTGCATCGTACGGCGCGTTTCGATCGTCTTGCTCTCATCAGGTGGAGATAGCAGGCCTCGAACCCAGGACCAATGAGTATCGCGGTCTACGTGAGGTCGTGCGTCCTAATTCAATCACACAACGGGTACTACAAAATGACCTTCCAATCTGACAACTAGTTGTTGTTGCACAAATTGGCTTATTCCGACCATCTCGGGGATTAGGGTGGTGTAACACAATCGTGCAAGCTGATCTAAGCGGTGTTCAGTGGCACGTGACCAATCGGTATTTATATGTTAAGGAAGCTGACGGCCTGCGCGAACACGGAATTGCGCGGCGAAATGCTGATAAATGTCACATTGAACCCATCTTGGCAAACGTTACCTCATTCGGGAAGTCATAGACTTATCGGTTCCGTCTGTGTAACTGGCTCCGCAGTTGCGAGTTGGTATATGCAGTGTGACTTGCCTTCGATCGGATGTGCTTCCTTCGTTAGAAACATCGGCAGGCTACGAGTTCAGTTAATGGCTACAATTTGAGCACTAAACGTTTATCGATCTTCAGCAATCACCCTTGAAAGGCAACTCGATAGGGATCTTCTTCTCGGCTGCTGTACTCACTAAATCCTTCGGGTCTCGCTATTGTTTCTTTCTCCATAAATCTGCGAGGATACCTATTCGCCGATTGTTGTTTTAATACACTAGCTGGTTGACAAGACAATCAGTCGAGCAAATTCCTATAGTTTTGACTTGTGTCCGCATCTGTCGCACAGGTGTGAAGTGCAAGTATTGCCCTAACCATGTTTTTCTGTACACATAAATCTTTATAAGTACGTCATCCCTATGACTGACAAGAATGTCAGGCAGTATTACTGCTCCACTCCGCAGGAGATCAGCAAGTTGGTGTGTGCACTGTTAAGCTGTTGCTCCGACGAACAAAAAACCAATATGTCATCCACATAAACTTATAATATGTCAGCTTCGTTATTTCTGTAGATATGAGAAAATCGGTGAGTATAAGGCCTAGTAGGCTACCCATTGCCGCCCCATCGATTTGACAGTATGGCCTATTCTGAAAGTGGAACCCGACATTCTCGGTACACAAAAGCAAGGTTTCATTTAAGAATTCGACTGGAATTGGTAACGAATAATCAGACTGCTTAGCTAGTTAACCTATGTAGTCAACCGTGTGCTGTAACGGGGCTTTGGTGAACAGAAATCCTATGTTTAAAAATTGACCTTATCGGCATGTTGACGTCATCCAAAGCATCGACAAGTTGAAAGTAACCCTTAAGACTATAAGTATTGGACGAAAGGAGTTTCACTGACCATAGTGTCAGTTAATGCTGCGGCGAATTAATCATTGATAGAATTGGCCTTAGTGGCACTGCACTTTTGTGCGGAATAGTGATGCCACTTGGCTTCAAACAATTGTAGATGTCACTATCAATCAAGCGATGAAGAAATAGTGTTTCAAGGTAGCGGCTACGTTCAATACCTTGTCTTTCGAAAATGAACTTGCCGTATCATCGGACACAGTTCAGATAAGGGTTCACAATTGTGTTACGACACCCGAATCCCTGTTTCACTGGGGTTGTTAGAATAAACCAGATAAAGCCGGTTCTGTGTACAAAAATATTATTTGTCAGTTTAAGACTGATATAGACATAGGGGTGGAACTTCCGTCATCCATTTTGCACTAATACCTATGTTGTCACACCCACCACTCGACAAATTCGAGAATATATTATTTATTTATTTATATGGTTGATGGTACTAAAGAAACTATGCAAAACGCACGCATATACTGTCCAACCTGTTATGGCGACCAGGCACGAAACCTCTGCAACGATTTTACTACGTCTTCTGCTTGGTCTAACCTGTGTATCGCACGCAACTGTCTAACGCTACCGCGACTAGATTTTACTGGACCCCAGAGGTTCTCAACCTTTACTCGACCAAGTTGTCCCCTTGACCAACAGAATTCATCTGGACGGCAAAGGAGTTGCGCTGAGACACAGACAAATAGGGTCGTTACTCAACTAATCTGAGCCTTGCGTGTGCCGCACACGTGTATACCGGGTGTTTTGTTAATCTCGTCCGGAGCTAGGAGCGGCTGCACTCAGGTGCTGACGTACAACTGGTACGCTGAATTACTAACTGTCCAATGACGCAGGGGTGAGATGGGACACTGACGCCACATGTGTGCCTACGACCGCAGAGCACATCGAGCCGTTCGGCTGTGAGAAGTGAACGTTAGCCAGACACCAAAGCCGCAATGAACGCGTCATGCCTCGACCGCATGGCAATACCAAGGGAACGCATGCCGTTCAGCTGTGAGAACTTGACGTGAGCCGGACATCACATAGACGCACTGAACGTGTCATGCTTCGATCGATCGGTAGTCGGCCTTCAGACAGGTGGAACGCCAGCAAAAGGGTTTCCTGCGAAATGTATTGCTGTGCTAGCAATTGAGAAAATCAGCCTGAACGTGTGATGACCGGTCGACGAGCTGCTAAAGGGAATAATATTGCCAGGAGCACATTTTAAGATTACAGTGTTGTTCGCTTCACCGTTTCCATCGCGCGTGTTACAGCTGAAAATTCATCTTGCATAAAAAACGATTTCTTGACTTGACGTGACAATGCTCTTAGAGTTCAGTTTGACCCGACCCACTGGTGGCACCATTAGACAGCACACCAACTATTGCCCTCACAGTCGGACAATTGCTAGCTGTATAAATTGATCAGACCTTCGATGGTGTTTCTCGTGTACAATGGAGAATATACATTTACTCATTTCTTTACTTATATTTACATGAAATGTGTGAAATGTCGTTCACGTGTGCAATATAGCGCGAAGCTCATGGCCTGGCCTAGGTTGACTGGTCGAAAAAGCATTGGGCCCTTTTTCTTTTCCAGGAGTGTGTCCAGTAGCTTGTAGTTTAACAGCCGTCGCAACGAGACTGGACCTTAACGTGGTGCGACGGTTTGCGTACCTCATTGACCCATTGAGCTATACTGGGTGGTGCCTCCGGGCACCTTGAGAGCTACTCATACTAGGTTGGTCAATTGTGAGAGGTCAGACAAACTCAGTCTCCTGGTCCTCCAGGTTGGGGGTTTGAAATGAGATGGCGTCCATTTCTGTAAAACTGAATCATTGCCACC